GGTGCTTGGAGATAATTAGATTGTATAAACCGTTGGCCTCATTATCTCCAAGCTGGGCGGGTACTAGTTTGAATGATACATTGTATTATGATTGGTTGAATATTTGTACTGTCCCTGGACCTGGGGACTTGCATAAATTGCCATGCTTGTGTGCCAGTAAAGCCAGTTCGTTTTGACCCTCAACTCGCAGCCTCGACTTGTGTTGTAGGGATCCGGGAATCCTAGCTTTACTATAGCTAGTGGGATATTCTACACTTACAGGTTTCTACCGATTGAAGCACCGTTCGACTCTCTGACTTCGAGAACCAGGACATCCAAGGGATCCAAGCGATCCAACCTCCTGTTAGACCGGAGGCAATCGTAACATGGTACTAATCCCCACAGTAGAAAGTAAATTCCTTGCAAACTGACATGGCCCATACGAGATCACTGAACGAGTCAATGAGATGAATTATAAGGTGAGACAACCTGGTAGAAGAAAGCCTGAACAAATATACCATATAAATTTACTTAAACCCTGGACAGATAGAGAGGTCTTGATGGCCATGACAGACAACGTTCCTCAGACCAAAGTACCAGAGGTTAACATTGCTGACACCCTAGCACCTCATCAGAAAAATGAGGTCCGAGAGTTTGTCGCTAGAAATCGGGATGTTTGCTCCAGTTCCAGGAAAGACTCGTGGTATTGAACATGACATAATAGGGGTTATCGAGGAATCACAAAGCGAATGGGGTAATCCTATAGTGTTGGTACCCAAGCCAAACGGAGAAATCAGATTCTGTAATGATTTCAGAAAATTAAATGAGATCAAAATTTGATGCTTATCCCATGCCTAGGGTTGATGGCCTAATAGAGAGATTAGGACGATTCGGGTATCTGACTACATTAGATCGGACTAAAGGTTATTGGCAAGTTCCCTTAACAGAGCGGGCCAAAGAAAAAAACTGCTTTTTTCACACCAGAAGGTTTATTTCAATATAAAGTCTTACCTTTTGGGTTGCATGGTGCTTACAAAGAATGATGGATAGAATCCTTAGACCCCATAGTGAATACACGGCTGCCTACCTTGACGATGTGGTTATACACGGCACAGATTAGGAAACACACCTTCCCCGAGTTCAGGCAGTAAAAACTCTATACGAGATGCAGGTCTAACTGCCAATCCATCCAAATGTACGATAGGTTTGGAAGAGGCTAAGTATTTGGGCTACACTATTGGGAGGGGTCTCCTGAAACCACAGAAAAGTAAGGTAGATGCTATTTGGGATTGGCCACGTCCTGTGACAAAGAAACAAGTCAGGGCATTTCTAGGCTTAGTGGGCTACTACCGTAGATTCATACCTAACTTTGCTAGGATCGCACACCCGTTGACAGAGCTAACTAAGGCAAAAGGCCCTGTTATGATAAAGTGGACTCCCGAGGTAGAGAAGGCATTTAGTACTCTGAAGGAGGTTTTGTGTGCTGACCCAACTTTGGTTGCCCCAAATTTTACGAAATAATTTTTGGCACAGACAGATGCATCTGATGTGGGCCTAGGAGCGGTTCTTTCTCAAGTACACAGAGGAGAAGAACATCCCATTATGTACCTGAGTAAAAAGCTGAATCCCCATGAACACATTCACTTAAGTATTATCTCTTGGGGAGAAGTTTCAAACTTGTCACAGATCATGCTCCCTTGATGTGGATGAGACAAAACAAGGAAACAAATGCCAGAGTAACTAGGTGGTTCCTTAGTATTCAGCAATATAACTTCTCTATGGGGCATAGAGCTGGTAAAGACCAGGGGAATGCAGATGGTTTATCCAAAGTCCATTGTTTGTGGTCAAAGGTCGCGACGACCGATGGTTCTAAGCTGGCGGGGAGGATATGTGACAGTCTATGGGAGGGTAATAGAAGGAAGGTATTTAGGACCCATAGCCTGTACTTATTCACCTGCCCAATTAGCAACTGCTGAAGCTTTAATTAGAAGGTCTCAGAGCAGAAAGGAGAGAGATACAATCTGACCTGCAGAAAGAGCATGTCTGTGCAGAGCAGCACCAGAAAAAGTGCTAAAGGTTGGTGAAACCAATGTTTATTTTGTTGATTTATGTAGATTACCCTGGTTTAGTAAGGGACATTACTTTATGTTTAGTAAGTGCTTGAATTTGAGCTATGATTTTGTTTGTAGACTTTCCTTTCTGTTTTGCTGCAGTTTTAAACAAACTGATTGCTGCATGGATTTTTGTGCACAATGTAAATAAACCACACCTTTTTCGCATAAGAGACTGCTGTTATATACCTGTTACCTTAGAGGACTGTGTTGCTTTGCCCATAAAGGTCACAATATAAATATAATATAAAATATTATATACTATTGAGTAGTTCTTTTCATGTGTGTTTAACTTCCTGCTCAAAAAAAAAAAAAAGACAGGGTGTTCAGGGTGAAAGGACTGCCCCTAAGCCCACTTCAGAAACATTGGTCTGTACTATAAACTCTCCAGAAAAATCTGGAGTAACTAAGACAGGTTGGCTACAGATAGCTTCTTTCAGATTTTGTAAGGCTTCTTCAGCTTCTGGACACCATTTAACTACAACTGCCGACTTTGCTTTAGTAAGGTTTGTTTAGAGGTGCAGTAATGGTAGCAAAATTAGGAAGGAATCTCTTATTGTAACCAGTCAAGCCTAAAAATGGCTTCACTTTCTTTTTTGTAAGTGGCTGTGGCCATTTTTGTATGGCTTCCACTCTGGCAGTCTGTGGTTTAACCAATCCACTCCCAATTGAATATCCCTAGAAATTGGCTTCCTCCAAGCCAATCGAACACTTGGAAGGATTGGCAGTTAAGCCCGCCGAGCGGATAGCGTCAAGCACTGATTGAACTTTGAGGAGGTGGGATTCCCAGTCTGCACTGTGGCTAACTACATCATCCAAATAAGTTGCAGCATAACGAACATGAGGTTTAAGAATTCTATCCATCATTCGTTGGAATGTGGCAGGTGCCCCATGTAACCCAAATGGCAATACAATATACTGAAACAAGCTATTAGGTGTTGAAAAAGCGGTCTTTTCTTTGGCTCTTTCAGTGAGAGGGACTTGCCAGTAACCCTTTGTTAGAGCCATGGGCGTCCGCAGGAATTTTTCCAGGGGGGGCATAATTGTAATGACATCCATGCTTGGTACCTTTTTGACAGTGTCATGAAAGGGAAGGGGCATAGCCATTATCACATAAAGCCAGGGTGAATAGCGTTTACACAACTATGGTGTCAGGAATATATGTTTGTATTCCTGACACTATAGTGTTCTTTTAAGCAAATTAAAGAACCATTCTGGTCACCATAACAACTTCACCTAAATGAAAATGCTATGATGCCAGGAAGCCCCTGGGTGCTCGCTTTCCTTTAAGGGGTTAAATCGCTCTCAAATGGTTTAACCCCAAAGGCTTCCTCCAGCTCCAGGTCGCTCAGTGGTATTTGGCTTCTGAAACAGAGTGTCAGGAAGTGCAGATTGACGTCAGGCATGGGTGCCGCTGATTGGCTAGAGTGGACAGTTGACGCTCTAAGCCAATCGCTAGTTCCCGGTTCATAAAATATTTTTACTTTTTTATGAATGGGGAGCTACTGATTGGCTTAGAGTGCCAGCTGACCGCTCTAGCCAATCAGCAAGCCAACGGCACTCTGTGCTTCCTGACACTCAGTAAATAAAAGTGAACACATTAATACTGATATTTTTTTACCTTTGGAGATAAGGTCCAGCGTTTCCCTGCCTGGCCCAGGTACCAAAGCCTTATGATGTGGTGTCCAGAATAAAGTGGAGGGTTCACTTCATTTGCTGCTCCAATCTCCTTTTCCTCTCCTTCATTTGACAGTCTTTTTTTTTCTTCTGACACTGTTTTCTATCCTTGGCCCCTTCTGCTCTTTTACCTTTCTGCTACTTTTTGCTTATTTAGCGCCCTTCTGCTTCTTTCTCATTCTGATCCCGTTCTGCTCCCTTTTCTATTTTACCTTTGTGCTCCTTGTGCTCCTTCTGATTCTTTCTGCTCCTTTACCTTTGTGCTCATTCCTGCTCCTTGCAGGCCCTTCCTGCTCATTCTCCTATTTTGCCTTTGTGCTCCTTCTGCCCCTTCCAGCTAATTTCTGACCCTTTCTGCTCCTTCTACTTTACCTTTGTGCTGCTTTACCTTCCAGCTCATTGCTGACCCTTCCTGTTCATTTCTGATCCTTTGTGCTCCTTCTCCTACTTTACCTTTTATGCTCCTTGCTGTCCCTTCCAGCTCATTGCTGCCCCTTTCTGCTCCTTGATGTCCCTTCCTGCTCATTTCTATTCCTTCTCCTTTTCTTACTTTACCTTCCTGCTCCTTGCTGACTCTTCATGTAGGCTGTCTCCCCCATCCCTCACTTCCATAGGCGTGCGCACAGGGTGTGTCGGGTGTGCCTGGGCACACCCTAATCCCCGCGGCACGCCAATGGATTGAGACCGGCAGGGGAGATCTCTGGATCTCCCCGGTCGGCTCATGCAGAGCCGACGCTATCCGAGCGGCGGCTCTGGTCTAAGCCTCCATGGGCCGGTGGGGAGATCAAAGTTCTACCTCACCAGTCCACAGCAGCATGGAGGGAGGCAGCAGAGAACCCGGGCTAGAGTTCACTCTCCACTGAACCACCAGGGAAGGCAGTAGGACTGGGATATTAACTAATCTTCCCCCACCTCCACCCAAACATACAGCACACACACACACACAGCACCTACACACAGCCCACAAACAGCAACCACACACATACATCACCCTCGCACACACAGCACCCACACACATACAACACCCATACGCACCCAGCACACTAACAGCATCCTCACAAACACACAAAACCCACACACAACACCCGCACAGCACCCACACACAAACAGCACCCTGACAAACACACAACACCCACACACAGCACACTAACAGGACCAGAACAAACACGCGCACACACAAACACCCTCTCTCACACACACACACACACACACACAGCACACTACCAGTTCCCTCACACACAGCATGTGTATGTGTGTGTGTGTGTGTGTGTGTGTGTATATATATATATATATATATATATATATATATATATATATAAATATACACACACACACATACACATGGCTTGTGTTTGTGCTTTAGAGTGCACACCCTAATGCAATAGGCTGTGCACGCCTATGCTCACTTCCCTAATCTATAGGCTGCCCTCCCCATGCCTCACTCCCCTGATCTATAGGCTGCTGCCCCCCCCCCAGCCTCACTCCCTAATCTATAGGCTGCTGCCCCCCCTCACTCCCTAATCTATGGGCTGCTGCCCCTCACTCCCCTAATCTATGGGCTGCTGCCCCTCACTCCCCTAACCTGGTATGCCCCCTTACTCTCTAATCTGGGCTGCCCTCACTCCCTAATCTATGGGCTGCCCCCTCACTCCCAAATATGGGCTGCTGCCCCTCACTCCCTAATTTATGGGATGCCTCTCCCCTCACTCCCTAATCTATAGGCTGCTGTCCCCTCACTCCCCTTAATCACTCCTAATCCTGCAACTCCCTAATCTCTAGGATGCCTCCCCCTCTCCCTAATCTATGGGCTGCTGCCCCTCACTCCCATATAGGATGCCCCCCTCACTCTCTAATCTATAGGATGCCCCCCCCCCTCAACTCCCCTAATCTATAGGATGCCCCCCCCTCATTCTCCTAATCTACAGGCTGACCCTCCCACCATCCCCCACTTACCTGATCTGTAGGCTGTCTCTGGCTGCTTGTGTTGTTCCCCTGCGGTTTCAATCAGCAGAGAGAAGCAGGGATAAGATGCAGCTTCCTATCCCTGTCTCTCTCCATACACAGCGCCACCTACTGGCCGTGCCGGTATTGCAGTTCATTCTAAATCTCACACAAAATAGCAGAACAAGCTGAAAAATCCAGGGGGGGGGGCAAGTGCCCCCCCTTGCCCCCCCTTGCCCTCCCCCTGCGGACGCCCATGGTTAGAGCTAAGCTTGTTAGATAACAAGCTTTTCCCAGTCTTTCTATCAACTCATCAATCCTCATAAAATGTTAAATATGGCATTGAGTTTGCGGTAATCATTACAGAACCTCCAGGTGCCATCAGGTTGTGGCACCAATACAATAGGACTGCTCCAGTCACTCTGGGACTCTTTAATCACTCCAAGTTTAATTTTTTTTTTAACTTCTAAGTTTATAGCCTCCCTCCGGGCCTCAGGGATTCTATAAGGTTTGAGATTAACCCTTTTCCCAGGTTTGGTTATGTCATGTTTAATCACCTTAGTCTTTCCTGGAACTACCGAGAAAACATCCCTATTTCTTCTGATGAAATCTCTGACCTCTTGTTTCTGATGTACAGACAGAGTCTCAGATACGTTCACCTTTGGCTCTACTAAAGGAGGTTCCTGGACACCAGTGGCCGGCTGTTGGCGGGAAACCTTAGTCGTACGTGGTGAAGAAACTTCGACAAGTTGCGGATGGTCTGAAATACATGTATGTGATAAATTAACTTCATATACAGTAGGATCACATAAGTGTGTGTATGTTTACATGCGCACACACACATATATATATATCTCTATCTAACAATGCTATGCAAATACTTACGAGAAAAAAGTGAAGCCAGGCGCGTTTCCAGGGAGACAGGAGGTGAACCTGCTGCCCTACTCTCTGTGGAGACAGCATCTCCTGCAGTTCCTGATGCCTCTGGGTATTGAAGGGCTTGCACTGATGGTATAGAAAACACAAATTGGAGGGTTAACACATGAACACTGATATATGTACATTTTGACTAACAAATATGAATTTAAAGGACCACTATCGGCACCCAGACCACTTAAGCTCAATGAAGTGGTCTGGGTGCCAGGTCCCTCTAGTTTTAACCCTGCAGCTGAAAACTTAGCAGTTTCAGAGAAACTGCTATGTTTCACTGAGGGTTAATCCAGCCTCTAGTGGCTGTCTCACTGACAGACACTAGAGGTGCTTCCATTATTCTCACTGTGAAAATCACAGTGTGAAGATGCTGGACGTCCATAGGAAAGAATTGAGTAATGCTTTCCTATTGGCAGTTTGAATGCGTGCGAGGCTCTTGCCGCGCACGCGCATTCGGAGCTGTTGTCAACAGAGGGAGGAGTGTTCCCCAGCACCGAGGGAGCCCGGCACTGGAGATAGGTAAGTGGCTGAAGGGGTTTTAGTGGGAGGGGGGCCACGAGGGTGGGGGGGACCTAATTACCCTATAGTGCCAGGAAAACGAGTTTGTTTTCCTGGCACCATAGTGGTCCTTTAACAACGTACCTTCAGATGTTTCAGCGCCAGTTGTCCCCTCAATCCAAAGGAAGTTGTCTCTTCCCAGGAACTGCAGGAGCTCCTCTTCATGCGAACCGACTCCTGTCTTCCTGGAGGCGGCTGCTGCCTTGCTCACCGTTCTCTTAACCATCCGCCTGATGTCGTAACTGCAATGACAAGTGTAATTGATGAATTACTTTAATATGATTCTATATATATGTTTACTGACATGTTTAAAGGGATACTATAGGCATCCAGACCAATTCAGCTAATTGAAGTGGTCTGGGTTCAGTGTCCCAGGTCTCTTAACCCTGTAAAGGTAACTATTGCAACTGCAATAATTACCTTTATGTGTTTACTCCACCTGTAGTGGCTGGCTACCAGATTGCCACTAGAAGGACTTCTATTTTTTTAGGCAACTTTTGGTCACTATGGATGGTACCACTTGCATGCGCAGTAAACCCCTCAGATTTCTATAGCTGAAGGATGTGCCGCGCGCATGTGCTGTACACCATCAGATTTCTATGTCTGAAGCATGTGCTATGCGCATTACATCCGTCATATTTGTATATCAGATTGCTATTTCTGAAGGATGTGCTGCACGCATGCACAGTACACCCATCAGATTTCTATAGTTGAAGAATGTGCCGCACGCATGCGCGGTACACCCTTCAGATTAAAGGCCCAGCTAATCGAGCATCATCAGAGGCGGCACACATCCTCCACCAGAATTCTATTCCCCCAAGGCCTGCTAGTGTGCATGCGCGCAGGTGATCTCCGGAAGTGACGTTGGTATAGAAATCTGATAGATATAGATTTCTGATAGAAGAGCGGCATTTTGCAACATGATAGCCTCTCAATGCTTTCCTATGGGAAAGCATTGGATTGGCTGATTTTGTCAATTGTGAAGACCTCGCAAGGACCTGGCCGGGATAGCTGGCTGCAGCATTGCCAGCAGGGGGGCTGCCAGTAATGACAGGTAGTCTACCTGCTGGCTGGAAATAAAATAAATACAATTTTAAAAAAAGTTAAAAAGTGTAAAAAATAAATAAATAAATAAATAAAAAAAAAAAAAATATATATATATATATATATATATAAATATAAAATTACACGTAGACTGATATTAAATATATATAATTATTGATGTGTGTTATTTTGTTCTAACAGTATTGTGATATTAATATATATTTTATCAAAATACACGTAGAACGAAATAATATATATATCTATATACGTGTGTGTGTGTGTGTGTGTATGTATATATATATATATATATATATATATATATATATATATATCTATATCAATAAGGGGAGCACACTAGGACTTCAGTATAGTGCAAAAAATATATTTACTGTATCCAAAGCATGGTACAAATTCTGTGCAAAGAGAATCAACGTTTCGACCCTGCTGGGGTCTTTATCAAGATCACAGTGAAGTGTTGTTATAATGAACAATATATACATATGAATAAAATAACGCTTACCAATCAGATAATCGAGATCCCGATCAGCTACATGACCCGGAAGTGAGAAAACCATGTGAACAGTGTAACATGTGACTGGGTTGCTAAGCAACCTGTTACGACACGTACCGTCGGGTAGATGAAGCCGCCGTTTAGGCAATAATCCCCTTCTCCAGAAATGCAGTTTAAATCCAGCCGATCGCCAAACTCCCGAACGAAGTCCGCGAACACGGCAACTCCCGATCAGCCAAACAGTCGAACGCCTTCCACAGCTAGAAATAACGAAAACGCTGTCCCAATAATAATTCCCCCCACAAACGAGACCAAGCTCCGTCTTGAGGGTCAAATGAAGATCTGTTTAATGGGGGCTACCTGCCCGGTATTTATGCAGGTCTCCACAAGGTGGACACTCCCCGAGGGGACCTTGTGGAAGACTGTAACATATATTGGACAGTAGCCAATCGCAGTGGCTTCAATAATAGCCCTTCCCATCTTGCCCATAATTCCGTCTTCTTTACCTTGGAGATAATTGGGGAAGAAACCTAATTATCTCCCAAGGTAGAGACCATCGCCATCTTAAATTACAGTAACAAAAAGACATTAAAATACATAACTACAGAAATACCGAATGCATATGGTTCGTGTAACGTATCCCCAGACAGCCTGGATCTGAGGGCATGTTTTCACCGAATAGCGCTCAGATCCGATGTATCTAGTCGAATCGCCATGGAGTCAAAGTCTTTCACCAGTCCTTCGGTATACGAATGACTCCATGGGATGGCTGTCGGGGTAAAAGTCCATACGACTGAATAAAACTCCCGAACGACCGACGTTCGCATGCCTTGTCGAAACGGAAGGTAGGCAGCAGCTTTTCAGCGGTGTTCGGTAGTTTAAGTGTCCGTTTTTAGTTCCATACAGTTTGTACCGAACACCGCTCTGTGTTCGTATGTCCCAAAATGGCCGCTGCCTCGTGGTCGACATGCGAACGACGACCACCCGTACGAATGGAATGGAGAGGTGTCTGCGGTTAACCACAACGTTCTAATTGGGGCCAAGAGGTTAACCAGCAGCACACTCCTCTCCTGGGTGGCCGTTCGTTCGGTAGTTTCAATCGGCATTTTGCAAATACACGAACGGGGGTATATGAACAGGCAATTCCGCGAACAAAGGGGAACAGACGAACCAACAATGCAGATGAATCTGTCACACAACCTAAGTGACTATACTGAAGAAAGAAGAATGGGCGACCGGCACCGCCGTGATAGCCGGAAGTGTTCAAACCACGTGAGGGTTGTCATGTGACTAGAATACATGTGACAAGGTTGCTAAGCAACCAATCTAACAAAGTCTAACCCTTACTTCTCTAACCCGAGATCAAAGAAG